GCCTCTGGCTGTTGCTTGTGCACCTGTGCATGTCTTTTCCAGGTGGGCCCTTGGCTGTGGCCCATGCTATGGTGCGGGCCTCTGACTGAAGCTTGTGCACCTGTGCAGCTCTTTTCTGGGTGGGCCTTTGCTGGGCAGGTATGCTGGAGCCTCTGGGTTTGGGCAGAGCCCTGGCTGAGATCTGCCTGCAGCCACCAGCTCTGGACCACACTGCTGCTCCCTGGGATCTTCATGCACTCACTGATGCTATGGGGTGGACCTCTCTAGCAGTTTTTCTTTAGATGTGAGTATATACTATTACAAGTGGTAAGTTTCACCCACCTGTTAAAAATAAAACCTTATGGGCTGGGGATTTACCTCAGTGACACAGCACCTGCCTCGCAAGTGTAGGTCTTGAGTTTGATCCCTGGTACCAAACACGCACACCTTATGTAACTTTTGGTTATAATCACAACAATCGAAAGGATGTATTTATTTTATATCTAAATTAGTTTGATCTTTATCAGAATAATTTCCTTTTGGGAGGTTTATTGGATTCTTATATAACACCACTGTTAGATCCATTGGGATCTAAATTAGAAGTTGGTTTAAATAACTTACTGCTTAGCAATCTGGAAGCAGGATACTTTAATTATATATCATGGAAAATCTCAGTTCTCAGTTTTCCTATCACTCTACTCCCTGCTCCTCAATGAAGTTCATATAACCAAACCATGAATAAAACTAATTTTCACTGTATGTACAAACCCCCAAGCACTTTAAATGGTATATTGTGAAGATACTGTACTGACAACTTGGACTCGGTGAGAGGCACAGGGATAATACAGTGGCTGCACAAACCTGAAGCCTGTCTGTTCTGTGTGAATAGTTGACATTTGTTGGACTGGTTACTTGTGTCTCAGATTCATTGTCTGTAAAATGGATGCCACAACAATGACAGTAATTGCCAAGAGGGTTAAATTACCATCTCTCTCTCTCTGTGTGTGTGTGTGTGTGTCTGTCTGTCTGTCTCTCTCTCTCTCACACACACACACACACACACACACAGTGGTTCCACAGTTCATGAACTTAATTCTTTCCATGATTCTAGTCATAAACTGAGTTGGATGAGAACTGAATCAAATGCAATGGTTAGATTTAGGTTCAATGTTGACCTTCTGGGGAAGTTTGATTCAAGTCTAGTCCAATTTGGTTTGCAACCAGAATTGTGGGAAGAATTATTTGTGAACTGAACACCACTGTATATGTAATTTACTGAGACCAGTGCATGGTACATAGTGGGTGTTAAGTGCTTGCTAATATATTTTCTTTTTAAAGGAAATGAGTCCCACCCTAGTATACCACTTTGTCTACTCTTATGCTGTTACATACTATTCTCCTCCTCTGGGGTATGTTAGGATGTCACACATGGTCTATAGTAAACTGAAATTTTTCAAAGAATACAGCTTTCCCCAGGAAGGGCTTGTCCTACAGAATATCCTTGATTCCTGGAGATGGGATCTGAATTTTTTCCCCTTAAATCACATAAATGGATCACAGTGCTCTAGCTATGACCTGTTTCTGAGTGTTCTAGCTACTAACTGATGGTTTAATTTCTCAGTTTTAATGACCTGTGGGAGGTGATGGAAAAACAGCAACTCATTAAAGGCCTATCAGTATGTAGAGAAAGTTTTCTACTTCTATGTTTTAACCTAAGCAGAAACAAAAGTCATATCAGTACCATCGATTCTTAAAAAAAAGTTGATATGTGTCTAAAAATACTTACTCTGGATACCATGTGATCCCAAAACTGCAAAAACATAAACTTGTGGTATCTAAACATATATAATGAAAATTTCTTGGCATAACTATCATACTTTCTTAAAATATAATACAAAACAACCATAAACCAAATTAGGAGTAAGGAAATAATGTAGTTGTTTCTATTCAAAACAGTTAATGTGTCAATAATGTCATTAAAGTACTACAATAAGAGAAAGGTTTTAGTCAACTTCCTTATCCAGAGGTTATAGATAATATCATTTGATACATTTTTCCTGATTTTACCTTAACATGAGTCATTGCATCTCATTACTACCTCTATTAGACATTTCCAAATGAACAAAAAGTTGAAAAACACACTGGAGGCACCTCCCCTCCCTTTTTAATATGATAAAGGCTATTTAAACAAAACAAGGCACTTTATACTCACATAATAATTCACACTTCTCTAGGCTTGCTTTGACTGGCCAATGAGTTCTATGTCATGCCAGAAACTGACCCCTAAAAAATCACTAGAACTGGAACATGTAACGTATTGATGTCCAGCATTTTGTTACACTTTCTTGGTAACAGCAGTCTAGATTTTCCTCTCCAGATTCTCTCCCTCCTTGTCAAGCTATGTAGTTTTAGTTGGTGTGAACCCCACTGGAGGAGCTGCCAGTAGACAGATCAGTGTGCCTGCTGCCCAGCCCCAGTAAGTCATTTTGGTTCAACAATGAGCACATTTAACTAATCAGACCCAATGATATTCAGATGATCTCTGCTGGGCCTTCTGAGAAAGAAAATTGTCTTTTTCTAGGTAAGACAACCAGAAAAGGCCTCTGTCTTTCCTTAGGGTAAAACTGTTATTTCCTTTAAGTGGTAGGAGAATGGTGAGGTCTGAAATGGTGGCAGCCATGTTGCTAAGAAAAGTAGAGAATCTGGAGCCGCTAGGGATGGGTAGGGCATAGCAGGAAGGTGGTTGATGGCGGGGCTGGGGTGTTTTACAGCGTGTACTAGAGCCTAAAGTGAGGGGCAATGCCAAAAGCCAGTCTGAAGTGGAAAGATGCTAGGACCAAGGAAGTAGATCTGAGTTTATAGATCCAGTTTCACCTGAAACTGTTACAACTCTAAAGTTAAGTTACTGAATACATTTCTTTAATGTCTAAACTAGTTTGGATTCTGTTACTTGCAGCATAAACCCTAACTAATTCAGGCAAAATAGCCTAGACTAGACAGGAAATTTTCATTCTAGAACCCTATGAGCACCATGATGTTACTCTGTGATAACTGGGAGTGAAGAAAATGGGCCAATGTCATGTCATTAGTAAGGTAGGAAACTCAAGGTTGACTTCTACAGTGATGCCAAGGATGAAAAGAACTCAAAGACACAGCTTGACACTTATTGTAGGAGGAGTTCTTCATCGGCATATAAAAAGCATATGAGTTCACACCATGTTTTCAAAGAAATGACTGAACAGTAATCAGATATTTGTAAAATAGAGGCTGCCTGATTCTTACAGTGAGTTAAGGTAATTATGAAGATGTTTTTAGTCATTAATGAATATTGCAGCTTTCTTCTTTTTAAAAAGAGTACTTGCTTATTTTCAATGAAGATAAAATGATCACCTCCAAAAAGGCATGAGATGTGTTTTTTCATGTTACTTTATTCAGCAGATACTAAAGAATGTAAAACCACCTTAAATAAGTACTATTAAATGTGTTCCCTGGCCATTTGTAAGCCTCTTATTTAGTAAGTAGTAAATTACTTTAATTTTATAGATCACAGTCAAATGTTCAGTATTGGTTTTACTATTAGAACTGAGACATTGTCAACTAGTTTCCTTTTTCACAAATTGGTAAATAAAACTGAAAGAAAATAGAATGAGACCTTTGAGGCAGGGAAATATTTCTTTATCTTATTACAAAAAAGAAGGGGCTGGGGATTTAGCTCAGTGGTTCTTCTACTTGCCTTGCAAGCCCAAGGTTCCAAGTTTGTAAAAAAAAAAAAAAAAAAAAAAAAAAAGAAGAAGAAGAAGAAGAAAAGGAATAACCGTTCTTTGTCCATTCTGAACATAAAGATCATTTTTTCTATATAATACTGAAATATTTAACAATGTATAAAACAGGCATTTACAGTAAAATACAACCTTGATACAACCTTGTAATTTTCACCAGTGACTGTGTAAAATATGGGTGAATATACATGCATGAATGTTAAAGCAAGAAAAATCATTCTACATTCAAATGGAATGCAGCATTACATAAAATATAATAAATATCCAGAATATCAAATCCACAAATTGATCATTAATCTAATTTAAATTCTTTTTCCAGTTAGATCTTTTACTATATAATTTATTATAATAACTTTATGAGTTAAAAATAACTAATGTAAAAAAAGAATTCAATTAATCTGGCTACTGAAATAACACACTTCTCAATATTTTGCAACACATTTTAATCTATAACATATAAAACTGTCATTTTGATAAAAAATACACATCCGTATAGCTAATTGCTCAATTACCTTCTTTTTCAATGTTAAAAAAAGTCAGAGTTAATCATGAAAAGAAAAAAGAGGCTAATCTTATTTTTGAAATAATCTTATTCCTTAGCTCTTGTGCTTTGGCAATAAATGTCTTAAGCCTTAATATGTGACATATAACTTAAATACTATATTTACAAAATATAAATCTTTTAATCAAAATATTATACAAAATACTGTCTTACACATTTTGGGGGGGTACTGGGGATCGAACTCAGGTCCTTGCACTTGTGAGGTGGCAGAACCACTGAGCTAAATCCCCAGTCCATGTCTTACACATTTAAAGGATGCTTTCTTTATGATGTATGAGAGCCTTTAATATTTTTATCTCACTTTTTCACATATTTTCATTCTCTCTCCCTCATTGTCTTAGAGCTAATTTTTTAACAGTGAACACTGGCATAAAATAAAAATATGTATACAAAGATTGTTATATACCTTGCAGAGGTTTTTCTAGGCAAATTCTATTAGTTAGAGGCATTTAAAATCCAATTTATTTCTCTTTTTTTTTTTTTGGTTTTTTTTTTAGACAGGGTCTCACTATGTAGTTGAAACTGACCTGGAACTCACTATGTAGCCCAGGCTGGTCTCAAACTCACAGCAATCCTCCTGCCTCAGCCTCCCAAGTGCTGGGATTACAGGCGTGCGCCACCACAACCTGCTAAAATACAATTCATTTTAATTTCTATATTTTCATTCTTTTTTGTCACTACACAGTTCTAATAACTACTTTTTAGGGGTACTGTATAACTTATGAAGGTTCTTTTCAATTGTTCTTTTGATGTACATGAAAGGGCAGGCACCCACCACTTAGATTAACTTTTCAACATCTGCCCATGCACAAACACTTCCTGTAATTTTTTTCAATTAAAATACGGAGAACAAATGAGATTTACGGTTGCGTTCTTTGCTGCCATAAGAGGTGCCTTTAAAAAGTGACAAATGTTCACCCACCATTATTGATTTCCATAACAGAGATCCATAGTTAAGGATTTTATCTCGATTATGGATCAAGTCTCCAGCATGAGGGCTCTTTCCTGTTCTTTCTTCCTTAGCAAAAGGATTTACCTTCCCAATATGTCAATGTATATCCTCCAAATCACCGGAAGATGAATGGAAACCTTTTCAACTCTAAAATTCCAAGAAACATGCAGGGTTGATGTGTGATTGGATGTCACTCAGGTAATGCAAACCTCAAATAGGACAAGGATCTGGAAATTCTAATATAAGAGTCATCTTCCCCAGCCCTGAATAAAAAGAAGCCTCTTATCCTCTGGCTCGTAATCCCATCATTCTGCGGAGGAATACTGTTCCAGGCAGGATGGAGTGGTTACTTACAGGTATGGACGTCTGTCATGCTTTCACACCTCCTGCAGCGGACATAGCAGCACCAGATAAACTTACACTCACACCTCTCCACGTGCCTGACCACATGGGTGTTGTAGCCTCGGCCACAGCAGAGAAGGTTGCAGCCATCTGCACCTTCTGATGTACGGTTGCACTCCCTGCCTTGTGTTCCCGGGATTCCCAGTTTTTTATCCTCCACACAGTAGTTGGGAGACTTGTTAACATACAGCAGGTCATCCTTGTGGATCGGTATTTTCCTCTGATCTTTTTCTTTCCTTCGCATTTTTCTCTTTATTTTGTCTGATATCTGGATACTATTTTCATATTTATCTTTTAACGACTGGCCAATTTTTTCAAAAGAAGGCATGGTTTTCCAGCACGTTTTCACAGCACAGGAACCAGAAACTCCATGGCAGCGGCAGTCTACTGACATCAACTTGGCGACAGCCTGAAACCAACAGTGATTGTATTCAAATGTCCTTCATTAAGGGTCTCACTCAACAACCAACCTAATTACTTGACTCTATATCTGTTTCTACCTGTATAAAAATGATGTACTTAAGCAAAGAAAATCTTTAAGACTATGTACAGAAATGTTCTGTCCTTTAGTTTTGTCCAAATGTCTTCGCCCCGGACAGCAAATTTTTCCAAACTACATTGAAAGCATTAGTAGGCCAGGTTAATATTATCCTCAGAGATTATCTGGGATACCAAAGGGAAAGTACTTTTATTTCTAATACTTTAGTCAGTTGAGGTGTGAGAGGATGCTAATGCATACCTGCGAGTTTCTGATGCCATTCAACACCTTGCTACTCAAAGTATCAAAGATCAACAGCTCCTGTGTGACTTCTGATAAATACATTCAATCCCCACTTCAGACCCATAGAGTCAGAAGCTGCATTTTAACAGCATCCCCAAGTGATTCTTATCCATATGAAAATTTGAGAAGCACTGATATAGCTGATATAACTCTGATAGTACCATACACAGAAACTTCCCTGAAACTTTACAAGTAACCCGTGCTCAAAAACATGAGAGTCTGGCTTAATTGCTCCGATGATTTTAATGATGCCCAGTGGTGACACTGAATTGATTCGATAGAGAGGTTTTAGGTTTGATCAGTATAAAAGTTACCTTCACAAGGGTTGTAAGTAGAGAGGAACTCTATGTCATCACAGATCATATGGAAAAAACTGACTAATCAAGTTAGACTGATCCAAGTGAGGAGAGGCTACAGAGTATAGTTGCTTCAAGCATTACTCTTCCTTTCTAGAAAACTAGTTCAAACATATGTCCTGACTATGATGGATCAGTAGCACTAGTAGTAACATAGAATATAGCAAAAGGATAATATTTTTTCACTTCTACTGGAAGTGCCAAGTGCCGTTTATACAGACGGAGGAATTAAATGAGACTACATGTATTTGTACTAGCCCATTGTTTGGTGAATATTCTTTCTTTGAAGAAGTTATAGTTAGGGTAAAAATTGTCGGTGAGTCTACCGATAAAAAAGAAACAGAGATTTCAGGTTTCCAGGCCCTCACCTCTTACATACCAAGCTAGCCAACACAGCTTTTTTCAGTCCCCAGACGATGGCAAACAGATTAATAAATCCTCAGGACTAGCTGTAGAGTTGATATTCTGTCAACATACTAGGTAAAGTGAAAAATAGATCCATCTATTCAATAACTTGGAAATTATGTATGTAATATCATACCAAGGAAAGGAAAACCTCACAGTTGAAATTCCACTTATAGCTCTTATCAAAATTATAAAATGGCAAGTGTCTATATTTTGCTATTTTGTGCCAAATCCAACATTGACATGTTTATGGAATTACATTTTCTCACAAACTAATAAAATATTCTGAGCTATACAATGACCTTGAATATTACAAACACTTAAGGTTTATTTGCAACCTTAAATCAAAGCACATGGTATTGATTCATACAAGATTTAATATTTCTTACTAGTGTTTTAAATAATAAAATATTTAAACTCGATCCTTTTTAGACCATAGCAATATGCTCTTTCTGAATTCACAAAACCAAGAAGCTAATAAGTGTTTACAATTTCTTATTAACCCAGAGTAAAATGTACACTACAGTGAAGTAAGAGCAGTTCATAAATGATGACACAGAGGCTTGTTTCATTTAATTTACGGTATTTTATATAACCAAAGCCATCAATTCTTTAAGATTCTCTGGGCAAATACATGTTCAGATTAAGCAATCTGCCTACCTTTGTCCAGATTTTAAGTACCTGAAGCATATGAGAAGGAGCAATCAATCAGGTCTGGGTAATAACAAAATAAATTGTCTAAGAAAGATAAAAATTTGAGAATGCGTTTGTGTGCTTATATCTGATCAGGGTTCCTTATAGTCATCACTGAGGAATTTAAAGCTCCCTTTTTCTCTAGATAACAGCTGAAGACCTGATTTTCCCTTTTCTTTACCACTTCAGACATTGTGTAAGCAGTTGCTCATTTGCAAAGCCTAAAGGACAGAGTAGATGCTCATCAAATGGTGGACCCTCAAGTTACAACTGGCCCGACATATAAACAACTTGGGCTAATTAGGTTAATGAAGATTCATCTGCCTCTTGTTAGCTATAGTGTGTATTCAGGTAAACACCCAGATCTCAGCTGCATTAACTTACAACCAACTTGAGTTATAACCAGCCCTCAAAAACAGGATCGATTGGTAAGTCAAGGGTCCAATGTACTGATGGAATAATTAGTTGCACTCACTAGAGCAGTTTTAGGGCATCCTGTCTTGGTAATCTCATCTGGAGGAAGTAATAAAAATCACCTTTGTAAACAAGAGTTGATGTGAGAGGGAAAATAGCAAAGGGAGAGTTTGAGCCACCCAGGGCTCTCCTCCAATGCCTCCTTCTTTGTCCCGTCCTATCCATAACAGTATTAGTCCACAAAAGTGATACATTGCTTCATAGGTTCAAATTCCACTTCATCACCTGCTGAATTTGTATCCAAATTTTAGGGAAAAAATTCTACTCTAGAAAGCCAGCTCTTTTGAATAGCCAGAGTTTATAACTCCAGTGACATTTTTAAAAAGTTTATTCTATTACTTTTGAGTTCTACATGGCTGTAACAATAAATTTAAGAAAAGAAACTATTTTGATAATCTATGTGCCATATGTATATTTTTTTATTTTAGACCCTACATATATAAATGAACTTCAAGTAAAATTCTAATCATTAGACATTCAATTTGAATGATTATACCCTCTATAGCATCCCAAGGAGAAAACTTGGCCAAATTAAAGCAATATAATTGCCACTCAGAATTTTATAAAACGCAGTTTGAGGGCACACACACACACACACACACACACACACACCACAAAGACAGAATTAATACAATTTAGTCCTTCTCAGAGCTCATTTTCATAAATTATTTTACTTGAATTAGGAAGAAATACTTTGCACCTACTACGTAGTTAATCACTGGATATTTAGTTATGATTCTAGTTTTACAGAAAAATAAACAATGTGGTTAAAGCACTTGTCTTGCATTTGTTGGTGATATATAAGATCCTTATATGCAACATGATATTTTAGTAGAACAGAGAAAAATGAAAGTGGGAAATGTAAGTACATTTAAGGAAACTGCAGGAACACTAAAAACTTATATTCTGTGTTTTTTTTCTGCTAGGGTGTTTAATTAATGTTAAATGGTCATTTTGAGCTTCAGTGGTAATTCCATTTTCTGTTAACAAAAAGGAAGAGATGCAGCAGCCAAATGAGTTGTATGTGGTTATGAGAAAATTCCCTTCTCTACTCTAGTTGAGTTGTTAAGGTTTATAACAATATTAACAGAGGAATGTTTTGTTAACTATTGCAAACAGATGTGCACATTTTAGTGGAACATTTTTAAACTATGGGAGAGCAATTAGGAAGGAGAGTGGCATTTTAATCTGCTGGGGTCCTCACATACATTTTGGTTTGATAAATTTCTCATGAAGTGGTTAAGGACTGATTGATTCTATAATTTTAATTCAAAGGTAATGCTGCAGCCAGAGACTGTTTTCTGGTATAATGCTTTATCCTGACTTTACAGGAATGGCCAGAAAAATCTTGTAGAACATTTTGTGACTGACATTTTATTTTGTAAATAATCAAATGATGTTCAATATTTTATCAACACTGAATGTCAGATGAATGTACATAGCATTCCTATTTCTCTGACCCATTTTGTCCCTTTAGACTCCCAAATATATCTGAACCTGCTGAAAAGAAAAAGCACTCATGTGTTGTTCAATTACTTATAAATATTCTTGAAATAAGTCAATGAATTTGAGGCTGGCCCTTCCCACTTTGTTGAGTTGCTCATCATAAAACAAATTATGGGGTAGGGAAACTTAAAAGTTTATGAGGTGGACATGGTAGGATGGAAATATTTTAAGCACACCAAAAGAAATACCCATAAATATTCCAAGTCACATTATTCCCAGAAGTTCTGCCCCTGGAAGACATCACATCATTCTGTCAACCAATCACCATCTATCTACATTATTCTTGGAGTCATAACTTTAGGAACGGTGTCAGAAACCAAGTGGGAATCAGAGTATTTAAGGTCAGTGGTTAGAAAAATCATCTATCCTGCTCATAGCGCTACTAAGCGCCAGTACCCACATTTCTCTGAACACTTTCCTACATTTTCAGTTTGAGACTAGAAAAAGCAACTCAATTGAATGCAGACCTTGAACTTTACTTAGACAAATGTGCACAATAGATTAAAACCCTAATAACTAACATTGAAAATGGAGTTGATTGCTCTTTCATGTTAGATAGTAACCTAGAAACCTGCTTTTGGTTTAAGTTGGAGATTTTTTTTTTTTTACGAGCAATGGAAAGAAAAATACAAAAAATGTTTTGAATTATAATACATTATGAGAAAAGAACAACAAAACCCCCAAATAGTACTCTCCAAATAACCAGATAAATATTTTGTAATATTTTAAGATTCTACCTAGAACAGTGTGTGAAAAAAAATTCACTAGGGAAAAGTCTGAAGTTTACACAAAGCGCATATGCAGAGACCCCTTTATTTCTGCTCACACTGAATAATAGTAAAAATCTATTTAATATGAGAAAATGATTTTTGCTAACAAGGAGTGGATAAAATTGCAGTGTGTTTTTAATAAAAATCGGAATGTAAACAGTAGTTCAAGATCAGTATTAACAGTTACAGGGGCAAATATTGCTAGCTAATTTGGAAGAGCACACAAAATGAAATAAAACCAAATAGGTGCTTAATGTTACTAATGAAAACAGATTTTACAGTGCTTTAGGATTTTTCATAAATTTAGAGACATCTCTTTAGGAAAAAAACTAATCATAGCATGAACTTCTGAGTATTGATGTATTGATTATAATTTTTTGATCACTACAAAATTATTTTGAAAATGGCTTAGTTTGTTATATCCTGGTAATAAACGTTCATTTAATTATCTTATTTGTAAAATATATTGATTTGATATATCTTGATATTTTTCTCTAGTTTTTTACTATTTTTAAAAAGCATGTTAATACATTTAAATTTTTATATTAATACATTAGAAATCATAAATATTCCTTTATTAGATAATATTTAAACTGAAGTATAATCTCATTCATTGTTTAATGTAAAATTTTAAGGCAAAGAGACATGTGCATAACTATGGTAGTTAGGCAAGACTTAGATATAAATGCTTTTTTGAAATTTCTGAACAAAAAATATGGAAAGCTTTGGTGGCTATTTACTGATTTTCCTGCTTGTTATTTTGAATTGAATATTCAAATTAAATTGAAAATTTAAATTTGATTTTGAAGAGTTTCAACAATACTTTTTCCGAGTTTTCTGGTTTGTATATTAAATGAGGGAAGTTAAGTAAAGAAAATTGGCTGGAATTTGTAACTCTTCTAAATGAGTCCCATTTATTCATTTGCCAAAAATGTAAAATGAATGCAACAAATACTTTAAATATTCCTATGAGATATTGCAACTTGTTTTAATTTATTTCAGGAAAATGTGGCAGACTGCAATGACTACTTTGGGAACTTTAAAAGGTTATTATTGGACATTTACAATAATATACAATATGTGCTAATACACCTATCCTGAAAACTTTATTATAACTTAGAAAATATTTAGTCATTAAATGTTTTACATATTTTTAGGAATGTCCGCATAAATTGTTAACTAACTCATTATATTACAGAATTCGAACTTTATCATTATTCAGTAATATAAATATATAAAAGTTAAGTTAAGGTACACATATACTCCATTATAGGAAAACATAAAAATAAGAATTCATAAAAGAAGTTATTTGGTTAACACTTTTTTAGATTTGCCTTCCTCAATCTGTTTTAATATAGCTATATTTTAAAATATCCGTCCATACATTTAATGTAATTAGAACTTGTTTATGTGTATTTTACAAAAAATTTTAAGTGAATCTGTATTGCTTTACAAGAAAATAACTAATTCCCTTTAAAATAATAACTTTATGGTTGTATTTTCCCTGAGTGTTTTCTAAAGAGAGTAAAGACGAAATGGATATCATGTTTAGGAACAATTACCAACTAAATTTTGGATTTTGAAAAATATGAGCAAAATTCAAATTTGGGGAAATAACATTTGATTGAGCCCCATTAAAAAGGCAGATATGCTAAATTGTTCTGGCTTTGCCACTAACCTGATAAGGGGATAAAACCAAGATTATGACACACACTTGTAATGTATTATTTTATAAATAATGTTTTAGGTATATAAAACATACAACCACTAGTGCATTCTATTATTCAGCTCACATCAGATGTAGAACTTGAACTAAACCAATGTGATTAGTACATAGTAAGGAATACTTCTGCTGTCAGCATTTAGTTTTCAAATAATTTGTAAGGATTTATCTGGAAGTGTAATCCTAGCATTATTATTTATTTGATCTTCTAATACATACCTGCCTTCCAGCTTCATTATTATGTAGGTTCATTGCTAACAGTACTTTGCTGTCTTTTTCTGTGGTGTTTTTGATAGGCAAATCCAGGAACTTTCTGCTGAACCACATGCCGTACTGGACATCATCGGAGCAGCCCCCCCAGTGCCAGCCTTCCCTTGGGGAGCCACCATTCTGCAAGGTGGTGTCACAGGAGCATTCTGTCATGTTGCCGGCACTGCATGACCTGGTCACAGAGTGGACCAAGCCTGCAGCCATCACAGCATAAATAAATGCTGTCTCCTTGGTGCCTCGAATAAAACAAAAATTGCTAAATTAGAAAACCATGTCACTTTCTGTTTGGAACAAAGCCTCCTACTCATCCTCTTACCAGTCATGCAATTATTCAGCAGCTTTCAATGAATGTTTTAATGAGTACATATTTAGGAAGATATTTTATTGTTTTAGTCTTTGAAAAGCAACACTAATTTTCAGTATTCCACTTGAAAAGTTTGTTTTTCATACACTGTCCTTGTATCTTAAAACCATCTTTTAAAAATTTAAGATAAAAATTTAAAAATTCGAGACCTAACTTAGTGTTTAATAATAATAGCTCAATAATATGTGTTGAATTTTAGATCTTTTACTTGGACACAATAAGTAGTAGTAAAAGACTCAAACGAAACTAGATTACTTTTCTTTGTAAATTTAAAATGTAACAGGCTGAAAAATTTGATATGACTTTTGTTTGCATAAATCATATCTACCAGAATGTAAATTAAAATTATGCAAAGACCAAGGATAGTTTATCTTTTTGCAATCTAAAAAAAAAAAAAAAAAAAAAAAAAAAAAAAAGCTATCACGGAAAAGTATCCTTTGTTGAAATAGTTGTATTTACAACTCCTGCAGTAGAATTTGAGCTAAAATCTTTTTAAATTAAGTTCAAGTGAAATGCTAATAAAATAGACCAGAAAGGATTCAGCAGGCAGCTATTCTTTTTTCTTTCCATATGTTTAGATTGGAGTAGAGACAGTTTCGTGTCCGATGTCTAATAAACCTTTCAACAGCTAATGCTTCTGGATTGCTGCAACTGTGAAAAGCACATCGTTTTCCTCTTTCTTTTTTGCCCCCTACGGGGTGAGAGCTCCTTTGGGAGGGTGTGCAGGCCAAAACGCGGGGGCAGGGGGAGTGATGCTTTGGCGACTGTGCTTGCAGGGACCTTGGGGGAAAGAGTCGAAGGTGGAGGGAGAATGGAAATGGACTTGGTAAAGGACAAGGCATCTTTCAGCGGCCCAGTCCTAAAATTCTTTGAATCTGCTGTTATTTCTGGAACAATCTTGGCTCCCTGTACTTTTATTCTTACCAAGTCCCTACGCACGTGGAAAGAGAACTTTTTATCTTATTTTTTTGCAGCTTCTCGCGCCGCGGGAGTGCGCTGAGGAAGGGAGAGAAGGAAATGAAAACAGAGAGAGCTAAAGTGGTGGCGGGCAAATTGGCAGCACGTTGGGCTGTCGGGGACAGTGCTTTTAAAATCACCCTTATTTTGTCAACCCGGTGCTCCTAGGAGATGTGGGGGCGTCTCTTCAATTAACCACTTGTCCTGGGCTCGGGGCGCCGAGGAGCTGGTTAAGTCAAAGCAGATGCGGCAGCAGCAACATTCCCCGCTGCCGACCTCATGTTTCTCCAGCTGGTGTCTCACGTAGGGGGCGCCGCGCGGTCCGAGGGTCGGCCGGTGGGAGACTCCCAGTTTCTCTCCAGCCTGGGCGGGACGGGGAGGGAGGGCGAGCTGCGCTGCCTCCCTGGCGCGCGGGACCTGGGGAGTCGCCCCCTCCAGGCCCGCACCTGCGATCCGGGCTCCGGCCTCTGTCGCTCTCGATTCCCTACCCTACACGGTTTCTTTCAAGATTTGGAGAGTTACGGGACCGCGCCAGCGTCGGAGACTTCATTCGTCGCTGCCTTCGGTTCCCCGCCAGCCCCCAGGATCCCGGGACTCACCACTGCTCAGCTCGTAGCCAAAGAGGGGACTGGTGCCCAGCGCGGGCCCGGC